CACAATATTCTTTCTTGTTTTATCCTCTTCTTATCCTGCATATTTCAAACTGATTATGTTAATCATAAATATATTGTTGATACATAATAATATTAAGCGATAAAGAATGACAGGTGAGGTGTAATGGGGTTTAACGTCGCCTTCACGATTATCGCACTTGTAGCCCACTGAGATACCATGCCGCAGTTTAACATGAATACCCCACTCAGACATAGTATACTGTCTCCGAGCCGACCAGTCCTTGTTTTAGCCCCTTTATGCCGAGCGCCAGACAGGGTTACAACAAGTACCATCTTTTAACGTCTTTTGGTATGAGGGGGCACGGGTGGCCCAGTCGTCTAAGGCGCCGCGATTCGCTGTGCAGAGTTGCGTCCCTTGGGCACGCAAGAAACCTATGATTGTGGGTTCGAATCCCGGTTCGCCCCGATTATGTTTCTAGGTTTGCCAGCACCATACCCGTGCTCGTGGGTTTCACCCAAGTGGTAAACGTCTGAGACCTGCATCACTTCGGGCTTTCCTCCCACATTAAGCTGACACGCCGTGATATAACTGGAATACTGTTAAAAGCGGCGTAAAAAACCCAACTCACTCACTCACTCACTTTTGGTATGACGCGGAAGGGATTCGCGCCTTCCGCCCTCCGGGCACACGCTCTACCAGTAAACCACGGTCCTAATGAATGATAAGTGGCACAATTAAATCAACATTTTAATTATCTTTAATACAGCTAAGTCGTTCCCCTAATTAATAGGGGCCACCGGTGGCCCAGTCGTCTAAGGCGCCGCGATTCGCTGTGCAGAGTTGCGTCCCTTGGGCACGCCAGAAACTTATGATTGTGGGTTCGAATCCCGGTTCGCCCCGATTATGTTTCGAGGTTTGTCAGCACCATACCCGTGCTCGTGGGTTTCACCAAAGTGGTAAACGTCGGAGACCTGCATCACTTCGGGCTTTCCTCCCACATTAAGCTGACAAGCCGTGATGTAACTGGAATACTTTTAGAAGCAGCGTTAAACCCAACTCACTCACTCACACCTAATTAATACATCCCCGAGTGCACATACTTCCGAAAACTACGCCCACATGATTATTACAGAAACTGTTTCAAGGCTGTAAGATAATAGTACACATTTGATCTGGCCAAACGTTTCCATTTCAAAAGCTTTACATTCCCAAGTATCTGAAACTAAATAAAATGGTATAAAATTGCTGGCGGGTATACAATCAAGTGCCGGATCCCGATACTGTCTGAACGTTTCCATCAGGGAATACGTGTATATGTTTTTCTCTAATGAGAAGTCCATGAAGAAATAGTATTCACAATGAAATAGAAAACCGGTTTGACTTTAGAATTGTGTAATCCGAAAGTTCTCTATAAATCAAACCATCACCATTTTCACTTTCAGATTACTGACAAAAGAAAGCACTCACCATTCCTGAGCGCCATTGGTAGTTTCCACCATGATAAAAATGAATGTGTTTTAGCCAATTAGGATGTTCATCCGCAAATGAAATAATGTCATGAACGCAGAAAAAATATGATTTGACGTTTCCAACTGTTTGATCCGAAAGTTCAGAAGTCAGAGAAAACAGGACCAACTGCCGGCACAAAACCGCAAAAACTAAAACTGTAACGGGAACATAATTACGAGTTAGAAATAACCGACTCTGTCCAATTTGAATACCAGCATGCGAGCCCACAGTTAACAAAGAAAAACGTGAATTGACTACAAACAGTGCAATGCTGACATCGACAGTGTCAAGTCTGAGTGTGTTGATGTAGGTTAGCCTGCCCAAGGGAACTGCAGTGAGACTTTAACGAAGTCCTGATTGGTATCGTCCATGTGAAGACTTAAACACGTTAACAGAAGCACAGTTTGGGGGCATGGGGAGGTGAAGAATTAACATCGTTTGTTAGAAGCTCCTTGGAATATCTAGAGCTTCTATTCTCTCAGCTCCGTAACATAGCAGCCAAGTATATACTGTACAGCTACTCAGAGGTCAGGACACACATTTAGTTGCCATGTCGACCGCTCGTCAGACACATGATAGAATACCAAAGATTTACAAGAGATCCCCGAATCAAATATACAACGTGATCTCTCCTATCGAATGAGTCTTTGAACATCTTGAGCACGTCATTCTTAAACTAAAAGGATTAATACTTACCTTATGATTAACATCAATCGCTCCATTACGATATATAACGTTCTACACAAACAACCTGTACTTAACCAATCTAACCAACTTGCTGTCCACCCACACGGTCACTGTTAAGATATATCAGGTACATTCAGGTGACACACCTGATCAATTTGGCATTTATTAGCCAAAGCAAACACGATGATCTTTTGATGAAGGCATGGTTTGACATCGACATGTTTCCGTAGCATGAGACAGCGACCCAACACTGAACGGCGTGATTGTGTATAAGCGTACAAAGGGTATTGGGTGCAGTTTAAAAACTTTTATCTTGACGACAGTTCGACAAGGGCCAACTTGGACAAAGCGATCTTAGCGCTAAGATGATCTTAACTCCCATACTTTAACACAGGCTTGCAATAGTCTTAGCGCTAAGATCGTTTTGTGCAAGTGGGCCCAGGAAATGTATTATCTTTTTTTCAATTAAAGGAGACGTCCTCAACACGCTCCTGGATACCATATGAAAACTACGGTATCTAAGTATTCTGTCATATCTTAAGTGAATGAGGTGTACGGGAGGCCCAATCGTTTAAGGCGCCACAATTCGCAAGACAGAGTTGCGTCTCTTGGGAACGCAAGAAACCTATGATTGTGGGTTCGAATCCCGATTCGCCCCGATGTTGTTTCTAGGTTTATCAGCACCATACCCGTGCTCGTAGGCTTCACCAAAGTGGTAAACGTCTGAGACCTGCATCACTCCATGCTTTTCTCCCACATTAAGCTGATACACCTTGATATAATTTTAATACTCACTGTTGTACCGCAACCTCACGAGTTTGCCACGAATGATTCTGCTTGTCTCGGATTCGTTCCTGACAGTGATATATATAGAGGATTCATCAAAGGCTCGGCAAATACCGATTAACTAAGACTCGGTTGATATTTCCCATATTAAAAAACACGAGTGATGAATTCTATTTATCATTTTCACATTTTTGCTTCCCAATTAAGGAATAATTGCATTAAACATTAACATTAGCAACTTGTCGAAATCTTACGTATAGATCGTGCGTAGTGATACATGTTTTCCATAGCCGTGTAAACCAAAATAAACAACCTCTTAACTCCTTTATGACATATTCCTTCGCTGAGAAAAAAAGTTCCTCGGATTATTTTAAACAAAATACTTGAACAGACTTTTGCAGAATAATTGAAATAATGTCTCCAACATCAAAGGTATCCATGTTGTTTGTAAACACCTACTCACGTGCACCGGCGAAAAAAGTCCCACTTCCGGTTATCTAATTTGCACATCTAATTTGCATACTTATGTCATTGGAGTATGACATACATGTTTTTATGTCATAAGCTTATGTCATGGATAAATGCTTTAGTTAAATGATAAATTTATTCACGTAACCCAACACTACTCATTTCGTTATCCAATCGCTATAGCAATTGGTTAAGATCGGTCTTTACAAGTGACCCTGCCAGCAGAACCTTATTACAAGGGTTATCTTCAGGTTACAATTACGCTGATGTCGTAAGTCGTTCTTGGTGGGTAACGATTTACGATTGTCGTATCGATTAACGTACGCGGACAACGCAGGCTGCAGCTAGTGGGCCTATTTCAAGCCTTATCACTGCTATTATTGAAGATTCTATGCGTTGTAATGTGGTGCGAATGATTGAATCTTTTCGTGTCCATGAAGGTTTTATGTAAAGGGAAACTTGGGCAGAAAGTACGATATGTAATCACCAGGCTTGAGAGCGTCTTCGAACGAATGCTCTGCTTGTCCATGCAAATTCCCTGACGCATTGAACAGACTGCAAAATGTATTACCCATATTTTCTTTCGTTCGGCTTAGTGTCGTTTGTTTTCGGTGGAAAATTGGCCTGTTTATCGGCATTAGCAAGACGCCAACATTTCTAAAGAAAACACCGGTCCCCCGATTCCATGTCTAGAGCATGGTATGTCGTTTACTGCCCGAACATTCGCTTTGTTGAGTTGCGTCCCTTAGTAGTGCCAGAACCAGCTGAACGTGGGTCGGGGGCGGTGGAGAAACCCCGTGGTTAAAGCGTTCGCTCGACCCGCCGAAGGCGCGGGTTCGATTCCCTACATGGATAAAATGTGTAAGCCCATTTCTGGTTACCCCCCGTCGTGATATTGCTGGAATATTGCTAAAATCGGTGTAAAACCCACTCACTCACTCATCGTGGGTCGAATCCCATATATGTCCTGACATTTATGCTTGGTTAGTTTAGTATTTTACCAGTGCTCGGAGGTATCGCCAAGAGTGGTACACGTCTTCAAAAGGCCTTCATCACTTCGTGCTTTCCTCTAACGTGAAGCTGATATAACTGAAATACTGTTCTAATGAGCGTTAAACCAAACTCACTTAAAACCCTGTGGAGATGCTCTTGTCGTATAACTCGTACTTGTAGATGATAACTTTTCGTTATTAATCGTTAACTTTTCATAACCCAATTTCATACTTCTTTGCTATATTTCTAGAGATTCCATTCAGCACAGAAAAAGTGGATCAGCCACTGACGTGTCTAGATCATATATTGTCCCTATTAAGGGACCGACAATTTGATATTCTTGCGCGTTTCTCGATTGTTTACAGGCCGCTGCCAAATATCTGGAATGTTATTGAGTGCAGCATTAAACAACAAACAAACAAAGACATCATGATAAAATAGTGCGATTGTATCCTATTGGTTAAAGCGTTCCCTCGTCACGCCGAAGGCCCGGGTTCGATTCCCACATGGGTCCAATGTCTGAAGTCCATTTCCATGATGTCACTGGAATATTGCCAACTCGGTCACTCATGACAAATTGAGTTAAAACACACACATCAAACAACAACATAGTTTATTTCAATAAATACAATATTTTACATAAACAAAGAATGTGTGATATCCTGAAGTGGTGTATTAATCTAGGAGCTATGATGTACATATAAATTATCTTAATTGTGTGATTTCTCGTTTTCTCAGGCAAAGGTCACGTGACTTCTACTCTGAAACAAAGCAAGAAAATACAACAAATTAATTAATAATATTATAAATATAAGTTTACAAATGATGATATGATATTTGCTGTTTGTAATGCCCTAACATTGAAATGTACACGTGCCTCCGAAATAAACACTTGAAATGTACATGTGCATGTACATGTACATGTTACATACGAAATAAACGTTTGACCGAGCTTAACATGTTCTGAATATTGGCGTTTACAAATTAGATGAGGTGAATTCGTTCTTATAGTCGTTCAACGATTGTTAAACTACATTTTGAACTGAGGGACAAAAGAAAGTATACCGAGTTTGTTTCTTATGTTATTGAATTTTTAAAAGAACTGTTGTTAAATTTGATTATTTCTATTTAACCATCACTCATTCCTGCAACAGTTTGTAAAAAGTAATCTGTGGTTTGGAAATTTCGTATAAAAATAAATTGGATCAATGGAGACTGGGGTAAGAAATGAATTTCCAGCCCCATGACCCAATCATGTTTGAAACGTAAATTTATGCCGTAAAATTTTTTTTTTATTGATTTTCAAAGATAAGATGTCTAAGATACCCAAAAGCAGTTGCGTTTTATGAGGATTTCTTTTTCAATTTCTCAAGGTTTTAAAGTATTCTTTTAGTGCTGACTTAGCTCCAATACAGTTAATGTATTGGAAATAATATCCCTTAACTTAAGATTCTGGATTAACGGCTAACAAAAACGCTATATTCGTACCAAGTAATCAGGTTTGTCTGTTCAGTTTCACTACCATAGACGTAAACCATCGAATTTGTTAAAGTTTGTTTGTCTGTTTGTTGTTTAAAGCCGCACTCCGCAATATTCCAGCTATATGACGGCAGTCTGTAAATAATCGAGTCTGGACCAGACAATCCAGTGATTGACGTCATGAGCATCGATCCTCGCAATTGGGATAGAATAACATGCATCAACCAAGTCAGCGAGTCTGACCATCCGATCCCATTAGTCGCCTCATACGCATTGTTGATCTCAATGGAATCAAAACGACACAATTTGGCGTTCATACGATTTTCACGAGGCTGTATTCTTGACATGACGTAAACAGTGACGGACCACTTAAACATTCTTGGGGGAACCCTTGCGAATTCCCTAGCAAGAATACATACAGAAGCGTTGTTTCTGATCATTTAAACTTTAATCTTGAAATCAGCGTTTAAGCATACATTAAAAAACGTCAGAGAGTATGACTGCATGATCGTTCACGACACATCCTAGTGAACAAAACGAAAAAATGCAAATCCAGACAATCGTGGTATCGACCCGATCCGTGTCTAGACTGCCAGTGACAGCCTACAGCAAATCTATGAATTTACCTTAGTATCTATTTGACACATCACTATAATCACCTTTCAATGATCGGCCAATTAATCAATGATGACCAACACAAGTAACCGCCACAGGTTCATTAACGACTTCGGAAATCTCTCCCGTCACGTTTATCGTGTCGGCCCTTTTTACTTCGTGTACTTGATGTTAATGTTTTACGACGCCCTGTCATTCTGACTGCCTAACTGAGGTAGTTCTTAACACACCTTTCTCATCCAATCATGATATGATCTGTATACATTTTTTTCTAAAAAAAACTACAACAGATGTTCCCGAAGAGCAAGTTGAGCATATATACGCTCACTTCACCTCTCTTTTTGAGGAACTATGTTATTCCGCGATACAGCTGGTTGTTGTATGTATGTCAGTGTAAACATGAATACACACTTTATACTTAATATAATTGTGTACAGTGAGTGAGTTTGGTTTTACTCCGCTTTTAGCAATATTTCAGCAATATCACGGCGAGGGACACCGGGAAATGGGCTTTACACAGTGTACCCATGTTGGGGAATCGAACCCGGGTCTTCGGCGTGACGAGCCAACACTTTAACCACTAGGCTTCCCCACCGTGTGTAGATGTAGACCTACATCTATCGAAGTCAATTCTTAAATAAAACACTGCAGGAAGAATAAACCATGAGCGACCAAGCCCCGAGTGGTGTATTCTTCCTTCAGTGTTTTATTTACGATGAACAACGACCACGAGGCGTATATTTCTTATACGAGATATCAACAGCCTCTTTAAGGATGTTATTGAATGTACAAGCTTCAAAACTATTTGCTCGTATTTAAATAATGATGATTCCCTGAATACAATCCGACCTCGGCAATGTTGGACAAGTACAATTAATGAACGGAGTGGGGGAGGGGGGATATTTGGTATTTCCCAGATATTCGCACTATTTTCACGTAAATTATCTGTACAATAAAACACTGCAGGGAGAATATAGTGGTTTCTTCTCCCTGCAGTGTTTTATTGTACGATAAACAACGATCATGAGTCCTTTATTTCTTATATTAGATATGAACATTATGCACAGCCTCTTTAAGGATGTTAGTAAAAAGTACACGCTTTAAAAATATTTCGCCGTATTTCGACAATGATGACTCCCTAAATAGAATCCGCCAGTGACAATTTCGAATAAGTCTATTTTATTATCCAGTGTATGACGTCATCAAGTTGCGAGCGCATGTTCGAATCACAAGAAATGACGTGAAAATGCTTTATCGTGAAATAACCACGCTTCGTTCTTCTTTGTTTTTTCGATTTATCGCATAACTATCTTATATAATGAGATAAAGACCACTGTGGTAAGATTTTCCTTTACAGGGCAAATACATATAAAAGGTATTCTCCTTCGACTACAACGTCACAAGAAGGGCATAATCTTAGGTATTTCTCAATTGATGAAACTCTTCCATTTAAGTTTTCGATCATTAAAGCCAGGTCTAAGACGAATAATATTGCTGCGAAATTCATGCACCGTAGGTTTGATAATGATATGACGTAGGGTCGGAATGACGCTGCACTAGAAACGACGTCATAGATGAAGATTGTTGACGTCACAGGATAATTGTAGTTTCATAAGACAGCGGTCGTGAACAGTGCATTTTCCAAAAGGGGATCCCCAAAGGATTAAAAAATAATGGGTAATAAAGAAATTATAACACTAAGACATATGTGGCATTCTGGTGTTACGAAAATGGTGTAAGAATTCTATTCTTGTATTTCCCAAGCGAGAGCTATGACAAACATGCTTGTATTAGGATCCCTATTTATATCGAGCCGAAAAACGAGCGTGAAGATCTTGGACTTTTAAATAACGGTTACTAACCTTGACTGACGTCAGCTTGGGAATCCCTGACTCTGACCTGGGTTGTGTGAGACCCACACACAGATCGAACCTTCATTGCATCTGCCTGACTGCTGCTCTGGGACACATCACTTCCGTTACTGTCAGGGTCTGAAGCTTCTGTGACTTTCACCGTAGGAACGTTCTTGGCTCTCTCTTTCTTCTCTTTGACCTTCTGTGTCTTCGGCTCCTGCTGTGATTCCGAGTTTGAGATGGTGGACGAGGATGAGGAACAGCTGGTGCCAAATGTCATGTTGCTGCTGCAGTTGTCTATTTTGATTGCTGGCAGCGAGGCTGTGACCTTGACGCTTTGATCTATGGTGACCCTTTTAGAACTGTCACGTGACTTTACAGATTTTAGTGATGATTTTTTGGTGAGGGACGTGTCACTTGATTTTGTCATTTTCTTTGATCGACTCTGCTTCAATTCGGTGGAGCTCGACTTCAAAGATGTTGCATCCTTTGACTGACTTCGTTTCACAATTTGTTCTTGGTGCGAGTCGCCCGATGATACGCTTGAAACGCTTGTTTTGGATTGTTGTTTGCTTTTCTCCTTCCTCGCCTCATTTGTCACTCTCCCTGAAGACTTCTTTGGAAGTCTGTCTTTACTTCCAATAACTATTTCCCGATTCACAGACATTATACTTTCGTCCGAGTCAACAGGGGAATCCATGGAGGTTTTAGACACGGACATTTTATCTGCTGATTCTGGTTGGACGAGACTACGGAATGAATTACGGGCATTTGTCGCCGCAGGACCCCCCTGCACGAGCGACAACTTGGCAAGATCTTTTATCCCTTCACCATCTCCATCGGCAGTCGCGTTCCGTTCAGCATCGCCGAGAGAAAGAACAATCTGCGAGACCACATCCTTGGCCATACTGTGGATGCTAGAACCAGTATCTGTCTCTACTTTGTCATCACTGTCCAAAGAAAGAGTCGCAATCTGTTGTGCGACAGTTTCCATATTGTTTGAACTGACTACTCCGTGTACGATGTTCGTCTTCACACCTTCTAAGGCATTGACAAGGGTATTCTCTATCCCATCTGGTTGGTCGTTGGTGCCCGTTAATGTTCCAACCAGTGTGGACAACTCCATTTGGCTCAATTTTCCCTGTTTGATGTTTGCAATGGTCTGGCTGATAACTTCAGCAACAAGATCGTTAACACATGCCAAGGTTGTCTGTTTGGTTTCTGTATCATGTGGAAGAGCTACTGGATCAACTTGAAGAGGTTCAGGGACTTGAGATGTCTCTGGTTCAAAGGTTCTTTCACTGTCTCGGGTAATAATATCAGACTGAGGATATGAGTCATCGGCCAAAGCTCGAGTCAATGTTCCCAGAACAAACTTGGCTACTTCAGAAGATGAGCCTTTATCCAAGGGAATATCCTCAGATGAAGATTTTGAAGACTTTTCAGAACTTATGATTTCCTTCGTCTCGGCCAAAGCTTGAGTCAATGTTCCCAGAACAAACTTGGCTACTTCAGAAGATGAGCCTTTATCCAAGGGAATATCCTCAGATGAAGATTTTGAAGACTTTTCAGAACTTGTGATTTCCTTCGTCTCGGCCAAAGCTTGAGTCAATGTTCCCAGAACAAACTTGGCTACTTCAGAAGATGAGCCTTTATCCAAGGGAATATCCTCAGATGAAGATTTTGAAGACTTTTCAGAACTTGTGATTTCCTTTGTCTTGGCCAAAGCTTGAGTCAATGTTCCCAGAACAAACTTGGCTACTTCAGAAGATGAGCCTTTATCCAAGGGAATATCCTCAGATGAAGATTTTGAAGACTTTTCAGAACTTGTGATTTCCTTTGTCTTGGCCAAAGCTTGAGTCAATGTTCCCAGAACAAACTTGGCTACTTCAGAAGATGAGACTTTATCCAAGGGAATATCCTCAGATGAAGATTTTGAAGACTTTTCAGAACTTGTGGTTTCCTTCGTCTCGGCCAAAGCTTGAGTCAATGTTCCCAGAACAGACTTGGCTACTTCAGAAGATGAGCCTTTATCCAAGGGAATATCCTCAGATGAAGATTTTGAAGACTTTTCAGAACTTGTGATTTCCTTCGTCTCGGCCAAAGCTTGAGTCAATGTTCCCAGAACAAACTTGGCTACTTCAGAAGATGAGCCTTTATCCAAGGGAATATCCTCAGATGAAGATTTTGAATACTTTTCAGAACTTGTGATTTCCTTTGTCTTGGCCAAAGCTTGAGTCAATGTTCCCAGAACAAACTTGGCTACTTCAGAAGATGAGACTTTATCCAAGGGAATATCCTCAGATGAAGATTTTGAAGACTTTTCAGAACTTGTGGTTTCCTTCGTCTCGGCCAAAGCTTGAGTCAATGTTCCCAGAACAAACTTGGCTACTTCAGAAGATGAGCCTTTATCCAAGGGAATATCTTCAGATGAAGATTTTGAAGACTTTTCAGAACTTGTGGTTTCCTTCGTCTCGGCCAAAGCTTGAGTCAATGTTCCCAGAACAAACTTGGCTACTTCAGAAGATGAGCCTTTATCCAAGGGAATATCCTCAGATGAAGATTTTGAATACTTTTCAGAACTTGTGATTTCCTTCGTCTCGGCCAAAGCTTGAGTCAATGTTCCCAGAACAAACTTGGCTACTTCAGAAGATGAGCCTTTATCCAAGGGAATATCCTCAGATGAAGATTTTGAATACTTTTCAGAACTTGGGATTTCCTTTGTCTTGGCCAAAGCTTGAGTCAATGTTCCCAGAACAAACTTGGCTACTTCAGAAGATGAGCCTTTATCCAAGGGAATATCCTCAGATGAAGATTTTGAAGACTTTTCAGAACTTGTGATTTCCTTTGTCTCGGCCAAAGCTAGAGTCAATGTTCCCAGAACAAACTTGGCTACTTCAGAAGATGAGCCTTTATCCAAGGGAATATCCTCAGATGAAGATTTTGAAGACTTTTCAGAACTTGTGGTTTCCTTCGTCTCGGCCAAAGCTTGAGTCAATGTTCCCAGAACAAACTTGGCTACTTCAGAAGATGAGCCTTTATCCAAGGGAATATCCTCAGATGAAGATTTTGAAGACTTTTCAGAACTTGTGATTTCCTTTGTCTTGGCCAAAGCTTGAGTCAATGTTCCCAGAACAAACTTGGCTACTTCAGAAGATGAGACTTTATCCAAGGGAATATCCTCAGATGAAGATTTTGAAGACTTTTCAGAACTTGTGGTTTCCTTCGTCTCGGCCAAAGCTTGAGTCAATGTTCCCAGAACAAACTTGGCTACTTCAGAAGATGAGCCTTTATCCAAGGGAATATCTTCAGATGAAGATTTTGAAGACTTTTCAGAACTTATGATTTCCTTCGTCTCGGCCAAAGCTTGAGTCAATGTTCCCAGAACAAACTTGGCTACTTCAGAAGATGAGCCTTTATCCAAGGGAATATCCTCAGATGAAGATTTTGAAGACTTTTCAGAACTTGTGATTTCCTTTGTCTTGGCCAAAGCTTGAGTCAATGTTCCCAGAACAAACTTGGCTACTTCAGAAGATGAGCCTTTATCCAAGGGAATATCCTCAGATGAAGATTTTGAAGACTTTTCAGAACTTGTGATTTCCTTTGTCTTGGCCAAAGCTTGAGTCAATGTTCCCAGAACAAACTTGGCTACTTCAGAAGATGAGCCTTTATCCAAGGGAATATCCTCAGATGAAGATTTTGAAGACTTTTCAGAACTTGTGATTTCCTTCGTCTCGGCCAAAGCTTGAGTCAATGTTCCCAGAACAAACTTGGCTACTTCAGAAGATGAGCCTTTATCCAAGGGAATATCCTCAGATGAAGATTTTGAAGACTTTTCAGAACTTGTGATTTCCTTCGTCTCGGCCAAAGCTTGAGTCAATGTTCCCAGAACAAACATGGCTACTTCAGAAGATGAGCCTTTATCCAAGGGAATATCCTCAGATGAAGATTTTGAAGACTTTTCAGAACTTATGATTTCCTTCGTCTCGGCCAAAGCTTGAGTCAATGTTCCCAGAACAAACTTGGCTACTTCAGAAGATGAGCCTTTATCCAAGGGAATATCCTCAGATGAAGATTTTGAAGACTTTTCAGAACTTGTGATTTCCTTTGTCTTGGCCAAAGCTTGAGTCAATGTTCCCAGAACAAACTTGGCTACTTCAGAAGATGAGCCTTTATCCAAGGGAATATCCTCAGATGAAGATTTTGAAGACTTTTCAGAACTTGTGATTTCCTTCGTCTCGGCCAAAGCTTGAGTCAATGTTCCCAGAACAAACTTGGCTACTTCAGAAGATGAGCCTTTATCCAAGGGAATATCCTCAGATGAAGATTTTGAAGGCTTTTCAGAACTTGTGATTTCCTTCGTCTCGGCCAAAGCTTGAGTCAATGTTCCCAGAACAAACTTGGCTACTTCAGAAGATGAGCCTTTATCCAAGGGAATATCCTCAGATGAAGATTTTGAAGACTTTTCAGAACTTGTGGTTTCCTTCGTCTCGGCCAAAGCTTGAGTCAATGTTCCCAGAACAAACTTGGCTACTTCAGAAGATGAGCCTTTATCCAAGGGAATATCCTCAGATGAAGATTTTGAATACTTTTCAGAACTTGTGATTTCTTTTGTCTTGGCAAAAGCTTGAGTCAATGTTCCCAGAACAAACTTGGCTACTTCAGAAGATGAGACTTTATGCAAGGGAATATCCTCAAATGAAGATTTTGAATACTTTTCAGAACTTGTGATTTCCTTCGTCTCGGCCAAAGCTTGTGTCAATGTTACCAGAACAAACTTGGCTACTTCAGAAGATGAGACTTTATCCAAGGGAATATCCTCAGATGGAGATTTTAAGGACTTTTCAGAACTTGTGATTTCCTTCGTCTCTTCTGCCACCTCATCTTTGAGCCCAGTTAATGCATTTTCAATGATCATGTCGGCAATGACTGTAGTCAGAGTTGCAAGTACCAATGAAGATGTTCCCCGGACACTGGAATCAGACGTGGATTTGGCACTTTCTGTTGTCCTATTTTGAATGGATTCAACAGCGTCTTGAAGATGACTGTATAGAAATTCCTCGAGAAGAATCGAGGAGCCTTTGGTGACATCCACAGCCCCATCGTCCGTGGATTGTCTTTTTTCTGACACAACTGATTTGAGACTCTGTAACACATAAGATTCTGTCTCTTTTGGAACCTCCGACGATTCTTTTCTCTGTCCTGCAGTAATGTCATGTGAAGACTTCTTTCTGACCTTTGAAATAAGTTGAAGTTTCGCAGAATTGTCCAGGGTCAAATACCCTTTGTCCAGCTCGCCCTGAATCTGTTGAATCAAATCGTCAACAAGTCTATCTGCCAAAGTTGAAGAACGTTTCCTTGCACCTTCATCTATTGTGAGAACCCCATTGGAAACTTCACTCTGTATTCTTCTTATAAGATCATTTACAACGTTTCTGGCGATAACGGAGGATTCTTGTTTAAGGAGTGAGGTGACACTTTCTGGTTTCAGTTGTTGAAAAAAAGACTGCCTTGGAGTTTGCATTCCACCTAACACCGTTAACAAGGTAGCTTGAACAAACTTGATAAGAAGGCCTGCATCCACACTGGACAAAATGTTACCAACATTTTTAAGTTCTGGTGTCATCACAGATTTGGTTCTGTCCGAATATGACTTAATTGCAGAAAATCGGTCAGAGATTGCATGAAAGTACACTGACGCTGTCCTCCTCTGAGATACATCGTTCACCACTCTCCGCAGGTCTTTGTGCAGAAGCTCCACATCCATATTAATAAAGTCTTTGCCTGGGCATATATCTGTCATGAACTGGGCCACACAGTCTCTGGATATGCTTCCACGCTCTAAGCCCACAATCAGCTCTTGAAGAACTGAGTTCACAAACCCAACAATATTGGAAGAAAGATGCGATGAAGATTTGATAGCAGCCTCAACTTCACGTTTTGTGTCAACAAGCGAGGTATCACTGGTAATGCCTTCAGCTATGTCCTGAGCGACCTGTACTAGTGTTTGTCTGACCAGAGACTCGATGTTCTGAGAGTCCACGGAACTGTAACTTTTAAACTGTACTGGAGTTGGAGGCCGTGACAGCACTGACTCCATTGAAGCCTCCTGACCTATTCTGTGAAGAGTGTCCCATATGAGCTTCTCCAAATCATTGCCGGATATAACACTGCTCAGCCTCCTGATAGATAAACTGCCCGTGTCGGTCGAGAGAGGCAAGCTTAGTAAGCTAACATCTTCGGTTACACTCCTCATCACCTTGTTCAACGTCAAACGTATCAGGTTCTCAATCATGAAAGAATCACTCTCATCGATCTGAATATGACTCGAGCACTTTTGGGGATGGCCAATGAGGTAACTCTGAAGAATGATAGCAAATATTTTCTTTGCGTCATCATACCCAACTCTATCTTCACTCAGAAGGCAAGTAATTTCTGTAAGAGTCATTTTCATACCTTGTGGCAAGGAATTAGCATCATCCAGTCCTCCCTCCGATAGATATATTGATGGAGTTACATCACCCTGAGGTGCAAGGGAGCAAGCGATTGAGGAAAGCATATGAACAGGTATATTCCTCTCAGTAAGATCTCTTGTGATCCTGTCAATTGCTGCAAATACCACATCAATTGCTAGTGAGGACTCTGTTGGAGAAGGTCGTTTCACTGTGGACAGATAGCTACCACCGGGGCTACTGCCAATTGTTGGGACATTTGATATGCCTTCCATAGTGGACGATCGGACTTTCAGGAAAGAGGCTGCGAGTGCTTTGAGAGCTTCTTTTTCAAATTCATCATCATCCATGTGTTCCCGAATATTGTCAATGACTTCCTTCACCAACTTGTCTGCAATTTCAGTACTTGTCATTTCCATGGGATCAATGCCTTCAGCTGAGGAAATCTGGAAGCCTTTATCAGTGAGAAGCTTGCGCCCCGTATCAATAAGTGCATTACCAATGTCCTGTATCTCTTCCTCAGTGATATTTCCGCTGTCGATTTGGTACAAGACAGAATCAATCATTCCTTGCACGTAATCCTTCTTTGACCGCTTGCTGTCATGTCGTGTGCTGATAATCTGCATGAGTTCGTGTTCCGAGAATTCCCCTGCTTTGATACTCACAAACAGCTGAGTGAGGATATCTGAAACGAAGTCCTCAATCATTTCTGTATGAGTCTTCTCCTCCTTTGATGTTACAGTATGGTACGAGGATACAATAGCCGTGACAACCTTGTCCATAGCAGCACCGACCATAGTGTTGGTTTCCATCTCGTCAAGGACATCGTTGAGAGTCTTCTTCAAATCACCTTCCAACCTACAATCCCTCCCACGAATAGCATTGACCACAGCTAACCCAATCTCTCTCACTCCATCCTGGGGCATGATTTTGGACTCGAGGTTATTCTTGATCTTACGCAGCGTTGTTGTAACAAAGTCCTCAAGCATTGAGTCACTGATGTGATCATCCACATCAAGCACATCTTTCGCTGCACTGGACAACGATGCGGATACCAGTCTGTCTAAGTCTTGATCATTCTTGATCTTACTCAGCGTTGTTGTAACAAAGTCCTCAAGCATTGAGTCACTGATGTGATCATCCTCATCAAGCACATCTTTCACTGCACTGGACAACGTTGCGGATATCAGTCTGTCTAAGTCTTGATCATTCTTGATCTTACTCAGCGTTGTTGTAACAAAGTCCTCAAGCATTGAGTCACTGATGTGATCATCCTCATCAAGCACATCTTTCGCTGCACTGGACAACGTTGCGGATATCAGTCTTTCTAAGTCTTGATCATTCTTGATCTTACGCAGCGTTGTTGTAACAAAGTCCTCAAGCATTGAGTCACTGATGTGATCATCCTCATCAAGCACATCTTTCGCTGCACTGGACAACGTTGCGGATATCAGTCTGTCTAAGTCTTGATCATTCTTGATCTTACTCAGCGTTGTTGTAACAAAGTCCTCAAGCATTGAGTCACTGATGTGATCATCCTCATCAAGCACATCTTTCGCTGCACTGGACAACGTTGCGGATATCAGTCTTTCTAAGTCTTGATCATTCTTGATCTTACGCAGCGTTGTTGTAACAAAGTCCTCAAGCATTGAGTCACTGATGTGATCATCCTCATCAAGCACATCTTTCACTGCACTGGACAACGTTGCGGATATCAGTCTGTCTAAGTCTTGATCATTCTTGATCTTACTCAGCGTTGTTGTAACAAAGTCCTCAAGCATTGAGTCACTGATGTGATCATCCTCATCAAGCACATCTTTCGCTGCACTGGACAACGTTGCGGATATCAGTCTTTCTAAGTCTTGATCATTCTTGATCTTACGCAGCGTTGTTGTAACAAAGTCCTCAAGCATTGAGTCACTGATGTGATCATCCTCATCAAGCACATCTTTCGCAGCACTGGACAACGTTGCGGATATCAGTCTGTCTAAGTCTTGATCATTCTTGATCTTACGCAGCGTTGTTGTAACAAAGTCCTCAAGCATTGAGTCACTGATGTGATCATCCTTATCAAGCACATCTTCCGCTGCACTGGACAACGTTGCGGATATCAGTCTGTCTAAGTCTTGATCACTGATATCCTCATCAGTTCCTGTGCCACTCTGAGCTTCTTTCATGATAGATTGGGTAATTGATGTTAGATCCTCCTGACTCGCCGATCCCGATCTGATGTCATCTAAGATCTTGCTGAGGGTGAAGCTCACGAGGTAGTCAGCGACGTGATCGGAGGGAGATGACGCAACATCATCACCTTTCCTCTTCCCCGAAACATCTTTGACTCTCAGGATATCCATGCAGTATCCTGTAAGCTTCACCAGATCATCCCGTTTGATGCGGCGGTGGTTGAGGTCATCAAGAAGACGGAGCAATAGAGATTCAACAAACCCACTCTTTATCTTTGTAGGCATAGATGGTTTTTTCACGTCAAAATCAAACTCTGATGTGAGCGGATCACCAGGCAAAGGAGATGGCACCGGTGTCAGCATGTGCTCGGACACAGGTTTTAGATTTGACCCACAGCTGCTGACGTCAAGACTGTCCATTGTAGAGGGGATGATTGACTCGTCGAAGCTGAACCGTACTGACCTACGTCTTGAATCTGAAACAAAGAATACAAATGAGGGGGGCGAATTAAGATGCTTTGAAGAGTGTGGAGTTTGGGTTCACGCGGATTTGAGCAAAATTAAAGCTACCTCATGGCCGGGGACACCAAGAAAGGGTGTGGGATCAGACCGGTTTCTCGGTTCAACGAGTGGATGTTTTGACCGCCAGACTAGTCGAATGTTGTTTAACGATGCACTTAGCAACATTCAAGCTGTATGATGGTGGCCGTTACAACCAGTAATCTATAGCCATCTTTTTACCTTTCGTTGGCGTTTGTTTTTACATATTATATAATTTATTTATTATATAATGTATGAGGCGTAGCGCGAAAAAAACATAATGCAGATTAAGCCACTGTTGATGTCCGGTTAGAATTGGCCACCATCAACCTATGCTTGACGCAAGCTGTGATTTGGTTGAGTGCATTTCATCGTTGCTCATAATATCAATCACTGGGTTATCTGTTCCTGGCTTGATTACATACATGCCACTGCCATGTATCTATCTGATGAATATTGCTGAGAGCGGCATTAAACAACAAAGAAAACAAACATTATTGTTAATTCGTCGATCCTCTATATAACCCAATCCTTACCTCCGATGGAGCTATCTTCAGAATTCTGCGCGATGAAGGACAGTTCTTCATCCGTACCAGTGTCAGGGCGCTCCAGGTCGTACATGTAGTCATCATACAAGTCTGCAGGAACAAATAAGTGTGTCAATTATTGTTCGACACACCAGATACCTGGCAAAGAAATCTGTTTCGAAAATCTCAAAAGAGGTTGGCGTTGGGCTGAGATTACTGTAAGCCCATTGGAACTTCTGACCTTTGCGGTGGACCGCGCTGGATAAACTGACTTTGGAATCAATACCAGTCCTTGTTAAGTGACGAACGAGCCACTATCTCGATATATTGATTAAGTCAAAGTAGTGTTATGGTTTCCACATAATTCATATTGCACAACTCGATATATATATACTACACAAGAAAGTCAAACAATACCCGATCATCACTGATTAACTATAGTCATATGAAGAAATCGGGTGTTCTTTAACGTCTGTTGAGTAGTATATATATATATATATATATATATATATATATATATATATATATATATATATATATATATATTAGTACATTTCCGTACTCTCGTCAGTCAGACCGATTCTGATACTGTAATGTCTCTTTTCTCGTAGTCCTTTCGCTATGGGATATATATATATATATATATATATATATATATATATATATATATATATATATATATATATCAGAATTGACGAGAGTAGCGAAATGTACTTACGTTCTAGAAGAAGCATTTGCGTCTACGTATCGTCATCAAGAATACAACTTTAAAGAGATGCAGTTTCAATTTTACGATGCATCAAATTACAAACAATGAATAAGTTGGAGCTTCATACTTAGTCTTAGCAGCGTTGTACATCTTGTACACGTTGTTATAACGTATAAATATATTAGTCTAGATTGATTAAGAGACAATAGTAAAGGTTTTGTCGATTTGGGCATCATCATTGAGTGGGTTGGTTTACCGTCATGCCGACAGTATTTCAGTCATATCATAGCGTTATCAGCTTGATAGAGGAAGGCCGGAGTGATTCAAGTCTTCGCTTTGGTGAAACCCAAGAACAATGGTATGGTGCTGACAAACCTAGAAACATTATCAGGGCGAACTGAGATTCGAACCAACAATTTCTGGCACGCCTAGGGGACGCAACTCTGCACATCGAATTGCGGCGCCTTGCATGACGGTGCCCCCCTGTGTCCCCTGAGCCCCTGAGCATTATTGTAGGTGGCACTATAGCGAGGGAAATTTTGCCTCTGTACTAACCATCATTAGAGTCCATCATAGAAAGGGAGGCTTGTTCACCCGACTCCAACATACGGAGGTACGCAGGGTAGATGTCCTGAAAAAAAATTGAGCATTGGGATGGTTGTTGTGTAATATACGAATGAACATGTTTCCACAGTCAAAAGAGAAAGGCGATTCAATGTCGGTCGTTCCTAGTCAAATGCCAAAACGTAATAAGGGACGTTCAAGGGGCGATAGTGCGACTGAGAAAAGTGTTCCTATATACCGATGTCAATCATTACACAATGCAACAGGACTTTCTTTTAAAATGGCTTTTTATTTTTTATCAAGTAACGTTGCTGAAAAGTACACTCTATGTATGTCGGAATTTTTCCAAAACTTGTGCGACATCCATCTATCGAATTTCTAGTGGCAACAACATAATATAAATCGCACAAATCACTCTAGTGTTTCAACTTCTGGAGTTCAATAAGCATCCAAAGGGGTCGAATATCGAATATTGACCTCAACGATATTTAATGAAATAACCATAATTGTGGCTTCTGTTATTGTCAATTTGTTTATATATTTTTATCCACCAACTATGTATAGCAGATCCTAACCACACCCGCTCCCCATCTCATTCTCTCGCATCTCCGCCGCTGCTGTCGCCACCTCGGTGACAATACATGTTTGTTTTGTTTTGTTTGTTGTTTAACGCCGCACTCGGCAATATTCCAGCTATATGACGGCGGTCTGTAAAATAATCGAGTCTGGACCAGACAATCCAGTGATTGACATCATGAGCATCGATCCACGCAATTGGGATCGATGACATGTATCAACCAAGTGTACAATGCTAGTTAGTGACTTCGAGATCCAACCAGTAATCGAACTATGAAATTGCGAAATATAATGAAAGTTATAACCACAAAACCCTATATTTGAAACGTCAATTGTGAATCGTAACGACACATATAGTTGCAGCATAACATTATGTTCTGTAAATATCAATGATATTATGTTTTATTCTAACGTCGAATTTTCACCATATTTAAATCGCCCTATCATACTTGAATTTCCGTGACTATCTCTTGACTCAAGTTCATAATTGTCAAGTCACTGGACTCTTTTAGCGCTTGTATTTTTTAATCAAAGATAAAAAAAATTCTCGATTCCTTGATGCAAACGAAAACAAGTTAACTTTAAATTTTTTACAAAAAACGTAATCAACTAATTGTGCGAGTGAGTTGGGTTTTAACTCCGCTTTGAACAATATTGCGGTTATTTTAAGGCGTGTCAGCTAAATGTGGGAGGGAAGCCCGGACTGATGCAGGACTCCAAGGTTTACCACTTTGGTGAAACGCAAGAACACGGGTATGGTGCTGACAAACCAAGAAACAATCGGGCCTAACCGGGATTCGAACCCGTTTGAATTTTCTTTTTTAAAATGTTGTTTTATGTTCAGGAAACAGTAGTATTCACTCCAAACTGATTCCTTAACAAGATTATCGCTGTTTGGGGGCAGCGCGAAGAATCTATAAACCCAAAGCGAAGATCAACTGACGAGCAAACCGCCTATCCGGTAGGCTAGTTTAAATTATTTCATTTGGCGAACTATTCACCAAGTTAACATGCCGAGAAATAAACGTGATTCAAATAATAATCGTAACAATTTGAAACGCGTAATAAAACGGCTATTTTTCGGAAGCGATATTTACTACTTTAAAAGCTCATCAAGAATTAATCAATTTTAGGGAAACCTCAATCTCATCAAAACAACATTTCAAATCACCAGATGCACCAACTTAACAAATTATAATAAAAATACCAAATAACCAGATTACCTGCAATGTACACATGCGCATCCTTTCAACTCGGCCAAAGCGGACGGTCAAAGTGACATGTAGCTGAGATTGACATGAAATGTACAATTACTCTCTCCCAGCGATATTGACGTGCGGTCATAAACCCTGAGGGAAAGTCACAAATCACAGTTTCCTGTGATCGTAATGGGTTTGATAACAACAAGGTCCGCCCTTGGGTCGTTGGTCATGATGTTGTAATATGATAGTGTGTAAATAAGCGTATTGTATAAAGACGTTTCAATATTTGAAGTGTGAGGTCGACAGCCGATTACTTAACGAACGTGTTATTATATAATCAGATAATTACATATGAACGTTTGTCGTATTTAATTTTTTATTGTTTATACTGTATATAATTAAATAACATATTTACAGTACAGCTTAATACTATTTTAACCCCCGGATCCATGTTGATGTTTTGACGCATTTTTTTGTGAAAAAATATCCTTTACGTGAAATGAGGTCACGCGACACAAGATGTCTTTATATTTCTGCAGGAGTGTTGAATTTCCTGTCTCATACAAAAACAGTTCTCATGCTGCTTAAAAAAGAAAGTGCGAAATGTTATCCAAGATATATTTTGCTTTGCGTAAAAAACGGGTTAAAGGCGCCCTTCCAGAAAGTAATCGGACGGCGGGGACCATTATATCGCTATAAAATACACGATGTTGCTTTGTGCAAGTTGGTTACGATATACGGCAGGAAAATGGATGCAGCTTACAAAGAAAGAATTCTTCGAAACATAATAAACGACATTTTATTCTCATCATTAAATTCCGTTCCCGATATTAAAGTCCTTATTATTGAGAAATCAATTATGTTTACACCGAATTGCAAACCGCTAAATAGAGCAGCTGTTATCGTGGTAGTTAACCCTCCCTGGATGTCACAGGATCAAAAGTGACCTTGCTCTTCAACCCTCATTTTGAAGCCGATAAAACTGAAACTACATCACGCACATAAAAACACTCTATAGTCTTGAATTCTGCGGAAGATTGTCTGCTCTGTACGGTGGCCCATAAGAGACATGGAGTCTGTTTTTCCATATATTGATATTTCACTTACATTTATCGTAACCTTTTGCAAATTAACACGATTTGTCTTACAAATATGTGATAAATCATGTGTAAAGAAGATATTGAATCGCTGAAAAACGAAACGAAAATGTCAAAAACTAAAATGAAAATACAGAAAACTATTTCTACCGCGGTGATAATATTTACACCACGGTGATAATATTTACACCGCGGTGGAAATAGTTTTCTGTGTATTCATTTTAGTTTTTGACATTTTCGTTTTGTGTTTTTGACATTTTCATTTTAGTTTTTGACCTTTTCGTTTTGTTTTTGACATTTCCATTTTAGTTTTTGACATTTTCACTTCACATTTCAGCGACTCAATAGCTACTTAAAAGTACATTTTCCATGTTTTCGGATGTTTTTATACATGATTTATCACATATTTGTATGGCAAATTGTGGTAATTTGCAAAAAGTTACGATAAAAGTAAGTTAAACATCAAAATATTGAAAAACAGACTCCATGTCCCTTATGGGCCACCGTAGCTCTGTAATATCAGCATCGTCAAAACACGTATGTCCTCGCGTCAAAGGCCGCGTTCGTAGTCCCATATGGGTACAATGTGTCAACCGTCCACAGCAGCGGGATGACACTGGAATATATCTAAAAGCGGCTTTAAATCTACACTGGAAATAGTCTGTTTTAAATATCATGGGGTTTTTAAAAATAAAATAGAGATATTTTAACTCTTCTGTGTGGTGTGTTTTGAATGCATTAAACCTTTGGAAATAGTATCTCTATTTTGTCACCTTCATAAGCTATATTTCAATTGTTTGGGAATTGAGGGGGGGATACTATTTATTTATTTATTTATTTATTTATTTATTTATTTCATTTACAGGGATGCATGGATGCATTAAGTTGTACTTATTTGAGCAATTTGGGGTAATTTGAGACATTATTTAAATGATCAATTCACATCACTTTCATCGCATTCTGTTTTTGGATGATCGAGTAAGGTGACTCTCTGGCGTGGACGTTATATATTTACATGTTATGATAGTATAATGGAGTCCACGTCAAGTCTACGTTACACAAGGTATATCCACTGCGAACACTTCTATAACTACAGGCTACTTATCAAGGTCGAAATAATGATTGTCGAATCTCTTATACAAGCTTACATGATCGACTTTCGCAATAAGAAGACATCAATCTATCTAACTATATGGAATTCAATACGAAACGGCAGTGAACGCTGTCATTTATCACAACTTCCTCAAGGCATACAACACCATCGACATTATGGCAACATTAATGGCTTGAATGTCGCAATAGCTTGCGTACTTTATCAAATAGCGAAAGAGTGGCCATAAGTACTTACTTAAAGTAGATTCTTGCTCAGAATGTTTGTTTGATCAAGGTCTCAATAAACCTTTCTAAAAGTTCTGTGATTGACAAGTGGAGGACATTTTCAAACTGACACACCAATGACATGAATGATGTTCGAAACAATTTTGACTTGAATCATATGTTCCCGGTTGTTCGTTGCCAGGTGAACGAACTGACTTGCCTTTGCATGTGTTTGTGACGGGTGCCATGGGATTGTTTCCCTGATGACTCGAATAGTTCAAAATATAAAACAACGTTCATACACCCACAATCGCCAAACTTTCAACTCTCGCCACACATAATTGACTAGACCGCCTCAGTGGTCTAGTGGATAGAGCATCTGCCAGGAGAGCGGAAGGTCGAGGGTTGGACCCCGGTTGGCGTCATACCTTGGACGTTAAAAGACGGTGCTTTTTTATTATCCTGCCTGGCGGTCGGCATTAAAGGGCAAATACAAGGAGTCAGTATACTGTGTCTGTGTGGGGCATCATGTAACTGCAGTATGGTATCTCAGTGGGCTAGTACTATAAAATTGGCATTAGCCCGGAATAGAACAAGTAGACACATACACACGTGCATGCACGTTGCTCTTTTAGAGTAATAATCTTAAACGCGACGTTAAACGCCTTTCATCTCACTTCAACTTACAACTCAGCTACCTCCCTGCGGTTGACGCAAATACATAAGGCAGACTGCGTTTAAAATATCTGCGCAAAACATGCCATTATCCTTTGGATCCTAATTCACAGCATACCTTACATCATAGTTTTAAGCCTTATACTGTATACACATCTGTCATAACAAACTAGTTCCAACGAGTTCCACACAACGAGGTTCGACTGTAGTTCCTTTTTGTGTAAACTTGTCCTTTAAGTTAATTTGTCCGGACCATCCAATCACTGATGAATAATAAATATGGGCGCTGACCCACTTGCACAAAGCGGCGTTAACGCTAAGTGAGTGAGTTGGGTTTAACGCCGATTTTAACAGTATTACAGTTATATAGCGGCATGTCAGCTTAAAGCCCGAAGTGATGCAGGTCTTAGACGTTTACCACTTCGGTGAAACCCACGAGCACGGGTATGGTGCTGACAAACCTAGAAACATAATCGGGGCGAACCGGGATTCGAACCCACAATCATAGGTTTCTGGCGTGCACAAGACGTCTAGACGACTGGGTCTGTAAATCTGTGTTAAAGTGAGTGAGAGAGTATGGTTTTACGCCGCTTTTGGCAACATTCCAGCAATATCACGGCGGAGGACACCAGAAATGGGGTTCACACATTGTATCCATGTGGGGAATCGAACCTCGTACGTCAACAATTGTTGTGACGAATACATAACTTTTGTAAATCTTGGTAATGTTCATACATGACAAGTTTAGATGTAGTTCAAACAAGTTTGATATTGAGACTAAAAGGAGAGTTGACCGCCTCCGTGGTCTAGTGGTAGAGCATCTGCCAGGAGTTCGGAAGGTCGTGGGTTGGACTCCCGTCGGCGTCATACCATGGACGTTAAAAGATGGTGCTTTTTATTATCCTGCCTGGCGGTCGGCATTACAGGGCAAATACAAGGAGCGTCCGCCCGGAGAGCGGAAGGTCCGGGGTTCGATCCCCGGCCGCGTCATACCAAAAGACGTAAAAAGAGTCTTGTTGTTACCCTGTCTGGCGCTCGGCAATAAGGGGCTTAAACAAGGACAGGTCGGCTCGGAGTCAGTATACTGTGTATTCATGTTAAACAGCGGCATGGTATCTCAGTGGGCTGGAGCTATAAAATCGACATCAGTCCGGACCAGCACAAGTACAAGTACAAGCACACACACACACACACACACACACACACACACACACACCTGCATGCACGTTGCTATATACGTAAGTGCAATAATCTTGAACGCGACGTTGAACCTCACCTCACCTCACCTCACCTCACCTCACCTCACCTGGAAGAAGAGTTAACATTCCACGCAACGAGATTATGAAGCGAATGTAGGTCTTGTGTCTTTTGTACAAATTCATTTCTTGCAGGTGTGCCCTGCTAAGGGACAAATACGTCGTACATATATCCATATCAAATATTGTCGTTACCCAAATATTCAGGAGTTCAATGTGCTTCCGTTTACTCCAAATAGAATAGAAATAGAATAGAATATAGAAATTACACTAAATTAAGCTATATTTTTTTCCACCCCTGTAATGCCGTTAGATCAGTGTAAGTATCTGTGTCATCCGGTTTAGCCAGGAACTCTTTTCTACACATGGCCTGTGGCCTCAAATCACTATTTAAATAGGATTGAATATGAGCCGGGTCTACAAGGAAACTTAAGTTGATTAAAGGCGGGGATTTAATAGGGAACTATGGTAACAGTTTTGTTGGTAAAATAAGACATCAATGGAAATCGTAAAATTCTAAGATAGATTTGCAGAGAAAAAAACAAAATCTGGGAATTTCGCAATTGATAAATGTCACGTGTATGTTTAGAATCATTGCCTGGGTAAAAAGAATTGATAAGAACGATATTATATTGGAAATGGTCATTCGTGGTCATTCGTTCCATTTCAGTACGAAAGGGGGCGAGCGGTGACGAAGGAACACATAGTGTTACTTGCATCCTCGTCACAAAATGCAACCAGTGCATCCGACCTTGTCAAAGGAACATTACTCAAAGGTCATAAATGTGATCGGTTTCAGTAGAGAGGCATGTTTAATAATAAAAAATAATAATCTCCATCTATTTCCATCAGAGTTTAAATCTACCTCTATATTATTCAAATAAATGTCATACTTATAAAGACGATATAATATCGACCATTGAATAACAGGTAAAGAATGTGTAAACATTGACCGTCATAACTGTCCTGATTTGTTGATTTAATTTCAAAGATAAAAAGTCTAAGACACCCATCGGTATTTTTTTTCAATTTTTCAAAGGTTGAAATCAAATTATATTTTTAAAAATAAAACCGTACAGCTGTATTCTTTGAGTTCCAAAGCGCTAGTACAGTTCATGTTTTGGATATATTATCGACAACTAAAGATATTTCAATTGAAAATCAAACATATCATAAAATCAACTGAGATATAGTTTCTTTTGTTCGGAGTCCTCAGTTAATAAACCACTACTATAAAACTCATATAGCTTGACTATTATAAGCCGACTGAAATCGGCCTCATTATGTTGGTGACGACCATACATCAGTCGCGCATGAGCAAACGGTAGAATCAGGGCAAACTTGATACCACAAGAACACTAAAACCGGACCTTTCGTACCGTACATTGGGATCTCACTGAAAGCAATCGTTCACGCAAAATGTTAAAACGACATTGATCCAAAATTTGGTTGGGTTTTCTTTAAAGAATGGTACTCACGTTTTTTACTTTGCTGACGACGGATGCAACCAGGTCGGAAGCAAACCTTTGCATTCCCAAATCCTCCTCGTCACCTTCCGACTATTGAGATGACAGAATCAATGTAAATGATGTCTTAATAATAGTAATAATAATTATAATCATCAACTTCATCACAAGCCTTTACCTTGAACTGAAGTAGTTCCTGTGTTCAGGTCACGTGTTACTTTAGGTCTTCCAGTCTTTGGGCATCGTTCGCTGGGTTCCTTTATGCTTACAATCTCATGAATCTGATCTTAGTTCTCGCTATCGCTGAACAAAGATCCGAGGACATCCCATTAAGGGTCACGTCAGAACGACCTTTTATCCAACCAATCAGAGCGTCGCTTACCAATGTGACAGTCGGAATGTGTTTTCTAATCACGCAATATTTAACACGGGGTATTCCGAACGACAGTTACGGGTTTTATGATTATATCCATACAATCTAGGCCATCTATAAGCCATCCAAAAATGTTCTTCTTATCAGTTTTAAAAAATTTTAATCGAGAATACGTCAAAATATGTTTCGAAGCGTAGGCGCCAGTTTGAAACTAGTGTCGTAAAGCTCGAGAAAGCTGCCTTCTGATTGGCTAATGTCGATTTCTTGTCAGTCATTTCATAGGTCGGTCAAAATTCGCGAAAGGTCGTTCTGACGTGACCCGTAATGGGATGTCTTAAGATCTTTGTTTAGCGGTAGCGAAAACTAAGATCTGATTTTAATGAGATTGTTATGCTTACAAACATTGATCTATTTGAAATACTGTTTAGAGCACTGATACATTAAACTCACTCACTCTTTCAACAGATTAGATCGATGAATTCACATACATATATTAAGTATTACGACTTTATGTAGACTATACAGACATATAAAGTAATATGTTTTTATCCGAAAGTCAAATACCAAGGATTAGATAATATTCTCTGATATATTTCAATCTATCCTATAAAAAGTATGACATACCGTTCCGTCTACATCTGACCGCGATGTGACGCTTTTTACAGCCTCGTCAATGACGGCGTTAATCATCTGCATTAACTCCAACGATTCGCTACTTCCTGCAAAAAACAAGTAATATATCTTAGCAAAAAGCCTGTTTTTCCAAAAAGTATTTTTTTATTTAACACCACAGTCAGCAATATCCTTGCATTATCCCAGCGGCCTGTATATGATCAGATCTGCACCAAGCAAACCAATGGTTGATAGTACGAACAACGTCCGACGCCGTCGGGGTCAGCATTAAAGGGCAAGTTCACACGGAAATGAACCTATTTTTCTTGTACTTTTTCCACATTAAAAGTGTTAACCTAGAAGTGTCATAGACAAAAATATAAAAAAATCACTAATAATGGACATATTTTTTGCATTAAAATGATTTATATTTTTCAAATTTACCAAGTGTTCTATTTCCATAACAAAAACACCATGGCTTATGCCCCTTACAATATGACGTCATTGGTGCCAATTGATAAACATTATGACGTCATCATGCTTTGTTAGAGCCGCTTCACGTGGTGTAGGTACAGGTGTGTGATTCTAGCGTCTCAGATGCCAGCCAGCATAGTGTTATGCTGAGTCACCACTGCGCCGGAGTGTGTCGCAGGCCATGTTGTTTTATCATCCAAAACTAGCTCCCACAGGAGATATCGCTTGGATTAGATCAAGCGATATCTACACTGTAGATATCGCTGCAGTGAAATTACATCACAATGCTTTGCAGACCATTGTGACGTCACTGGTTACCATGACATCACAATCAAATGACATCACTAATGGTCTGCTACTGAAGCTGTTAGCAGTACTTTTTACACTGAAGACACTGCTAATTACTGTCTACAAATTGAAAAAGTTGGAAGAATGATGTTGGATGATAAATAAAATCTCACCCTCGTGTCTTTTGATATCAAATATATCAACACTCGTTGATAAAAATGGCAAAAATCCTCGGCAAGCCTCGGAATTTTTCCACTTTTATCAACTCGTGTTGATATATTTGATATCAAAAGACACTCGGGTGAGATTCTCTATTTACCACAAACTGGTACTTGATATCTTTTGCGTTGAGAATAGACAGGGACCCAGTTGAATTGGCACCAATTACGTCATAATCTAATGGGGATAACTCAGGCCTGTTTAGCTCGAAAAACGAAGGCCTCATGACGGCATATCATTTTCACACTATTGTGAGCTTCCTACTTTCACTGTGAAAAAATTGAGTGTATATTTTCAAACACAGATACTAACTAATTCTAAAATTGCGTTTTGTTTAGAAAAAGATAGAAAGTGATTTTTGTGTGTACACTTCCCCTTTAAGCTTCACACTTCGGCGCAGCGATGACTTCGCCTAACACCACTGCCACATGCAAATTTGCAACTTATCACGTGACCGGACCTATCACGTGACCGTATCGCTTATTGGCCACTGCTTGTATACTCGTTTAGGTAACACAAACCCAGTCAAATATGCAAAACACAAGTAACAGTACATGTGGAGACTACAGTCATAACACAAGTAATACGACATATGGATGCTACAGTCAAGCTTCAAGTGTCAGCAGATCACAGTTGCAACATATCGTTGAGGAATTCAATAAACCAAGTTACCGAGCCTGACTACCCCATCAATTTAGTCGTCTCTTTGATACAAAAGGCGACTCGGAACCTATTCTAACCCGATATTGCTATGAGTTCCACCCAGTAAAAGCCGGAAAGTTCACCTCATCAGGGTACGGAACAGTTAATGATGGTCGACAATGTTGTTTGTCACACAATGCAGATATTGAACGTTAATATAAAGCGGCAAAACTCGTTTCCGTAACTATAACAGATACATACTAAAATCCGAGCCCATTGTACGATAGCCGCAAGTTAATTAGCTGGAAGAAGAGAGATAACCGCGAAAAAGATCTAAATTGGGAGTACCGCTAAGGAAAGAACACCTCTCAGTATGTTTTAAATATACCACCCCTGGTCACGTGGGGATGTAGGGGCTACACGCGTATAGTGGCTATTTATCTGCAAATAATTTTTTTTAAAAAGGTCTGGGGAAAAAATCCGAAAAAGATGTTTTGACGATGGTCTAAAGTTACCTGGATCGCCATTATTTCGTTTAAACAGATGCTAACTTGCAAATCAGTTAGAACACAAGGTGGACCATTTCAGATATTAAATAAATCATCACATGAATTACGCGTTTGTAAACATCCACAAGTAGTGTTAACGGGTACCTGCTTGGTCTGCACTCATTTCAACATAAATGCATTGATGAAAGGGAGGTAACTGCTGGTGCGTGTGGTCTTTTTTTGGTGTAAACATCAACATTTACGCCTTTGACGTGCCACATATGAATGGAAAATAGCACCAAGACGTTATTGTTCCACAATTACATTGAAACTATGTTATACATACTTAGACATTAAGTAGGGAAAGAGTGCCTTAGTTAGGGTTTAAAAACTCAACAGTAAAGTATCATATTGGTGCCCAAAAGAAACTTGCAATCGTTATCATCAGCACAACACTTAAGTCTGATCTCTGAGATATTCTTATGTCAGGTTAAAACAAACTGGACAGGTCGTGAATACATCGCCCCACGACCGCGACCGTTAAGCGTGCATTTGTTCACAAATTGTCAAAATAACTTCGCCAGATCGCGTCAGGAACTCGAACATATCGCGTCACTCTCGCAATCGTTGTATGTGGTGCTTCACATGAGTGAGTGAATATTGTTTAACGCCGCATCAGCAATTCTGCCGCTATTCGCTTGCAATCACAACTTGTGAAATGTAACACTAACCAGGTCGCGTCCATGTCGTAAAGATATCGCGACGCGGAAGTGTGAACTAGATACACAATGCTTAGTACAAACTAAAAACCAGTATGATAAATCCTGAAGGTGGATGAACTCAATTTTCTTCTGCGCCCAACTCAGAACAATTATAATCAGTGTTGCAACCTAATTCTGGTTAATACGGCTTTTTCTTTGAACAGACCGACGTGGTTTAGTGGACACAGCGCCTGTCCGTAAAGCGGATGGTTGTTGGGTCGATCCCCGGCCGCGTCATATAAAAAAACACGTTAACAGATAGTACTTGTTATGACCCTGCCTGGTGCTACGCATTTAGGGGCTAAAGAAGTCAGTATATTGTGTCTGTGTGTGGTATTCATGTTAAACTGCGACATGGAATCTCACTGAGCTAGCACTATAAAACCGGTGTTAGTCGGGACTGGTACAAGCAGCCACATACACGTGCATGCACGTCGCTATATGTGCTATAATATCTGAACGCGGCATTGAACCCCATTTCAACCTCACTTTACCTTTTCTTTGATCCATCTAAACTCGCTTTTTCATGTCACGAACTTGTCACATGAAGTCATCTTGAAAAACGGGCGATATAAACATTAGACTCTCTGTCAGGTTATCATATTTAAGCAAAACCCAGAATATTACTTACTTTCAAGGTAGAATAAAAAACATAACAAGTTTTTACCTTTAAAAACGCATTGATACCCTACCAGTACGCTGTCGAAAACATCACGAACAAAGTCTTTATATATAACGGATAGTTTCTATTCGAAAAAGTTAAAAAAAATAAACGCCTTTACATATAAGATGTAAAAGTTTCAAATTTGTAAAATAAAAACATTTTTTTATATTGTACCAATCTGCTGACCTTTTTCACTAAAAAGTTACTGTAAAGCGAAGAACATAAAAAGCGGCCTCCACTATCGTTATTGATGTCCAAGTTACGACTCTGGAGGCACCGTAAGCAAATCTGCCAAAATATTGATCACTGCAAAGTCAGTAATTGGCATGTTAGTTACGACTCAAAGTTGTCGAGGACGGCCCTTAAGGCACGTCGATATAAAAAGACGGGGACAGTGATGGTTCGGAGCGTAAACTAATGCGCAATGACTAATATTTCTGCAGTGGCTCTAATGAAGAGTACTCAGCAATACACGAACACAATGTACAAGCCCATAAGAAAGACAAATGCTGGTTTTACCGGTGCCACAGAAGGTCCTAATGGGACGCTAAAAGCACATCGCGATCTGCCTCAGAATGATGAGGTATCTCTGACTTACACGAAGTTCTAAATCGAAAGTCCACCACTCACTCAAAACATGCGAGTGAAAAAATACGGCCAATGTTTTCACTACGTTCATTTTGTATTGAAAATTATTCCTGCAGAAACTTCAACGACACGTAATTGGCAAACCGAGTTGTACTCCTTTGACTAATTTTAACCATCTTGAGTCGAAGACTCGCGGACAATTTGAATTTATTTCGAGTTGTTAGATGTTCGAGACAACCGGGGTGCCGATATATGACCACATTGAAGATACGGGTCCTTCCGACATAAATGAGCTCGACCACGCAGGTCGTGGAGATTCGCCCCGAGAGAATTCCGAGTTAGATTAGGTCCTCAACAACCTACTCTGGTCGTAAGAGGCGACCAAGTGGATCGGGTGGTAAGATTCGCTGACTTTGTTGATAACCTGTCATCGTACACTGGCGGCGTGGATCGCTGCTCACAATATCGATCACTGGGTCAAGTCTCGATTCTTTACGGGCCGCCGTCATATGGCTGGAATCTTGTTGAGTGCGGCGTTAAACAACAAACAACCACACATACGTAGAAGTTCACTTTTATGACAACCATTAACATTAGTGTGGCGCAAAGCCTTTCAGGCCAAAGACAAGAGATCAATATTACATATCACGTCCTGGTATTTAAGGGACACAACTCTGTATACGAAGTTAGGGAGGGGGGCTACTTTAAACGAGTTGTATTTCAGAATATCTGGACCTGCCACCGTCAAGTGAAAGCGGATTAAGTATGATAAAGTTCGTAGGCGATAATCAGACTGATAAATACAAACGACTAAACCTTTCCATGATCATGAGAAATCTGTGCTGCAGGCAGATTCCTTTGTACGATTCCGACTATATCATAAACACGTGTTGATGAATAATAGTGATGACTCCAGGTGTTCGCGAAAAGATGAGTGTATCCTGCGTATGAAACCAAGGCTCATTATCGGGCAGACTCTGGGA